AACATCAAATTATTAGGGAATTCTTCATATTTTCATCAACTTCAATGAATGACTATAGACAATAGGTATTGAAATCAGGTCATTAGCGAAAATCAGGGCATTCAAAAATCAGGACATTATACCCCTTGTTAATTTTAAAAGCGCGTTTGAGCAATTAAAAATCGATATTTTTGAAAATTCTTTTTGTTAAACCTGTATTTATCGTACTGAAAATAAATCAGATTTGAAAAATGAAACAAATATTATGAGAACTTGCTTTTATTATAGGTTTTCATTTTATCAGGTCATCAGGTCATTATACCCTAAAATCAGGACATTATACCCCTGTCAGTTTTCTCTGTCAAATAAAACTAAATAAAAATATTTTATTTGGCATTTTCTTGATGATTCTTTGAGAAAATGATAATATTCACAATTTCCAATAAAAATAATATTGTTTATGCACATAAAAACTCTTTATTTCAGTAAATATACTCAATCAGGTCAATCAGGGCATTACAGAAACAGCGATGAGACCGTGGTCTCTTATTATCACGTGACTAATCAGAACGAGGCTACTTTCATTTTTGCATTGCCTACGTTCAGCATGGGATCATTGATAATTAAGCCCTATGATATCTTCAGATTACAGCCTATTAAGCTGGAAGTAAGTGACAGTGTAACATAACATAAACCTTGTCATGGTCTAAAATGCAGATTTTCACATAGAAAGCTATGATGATCATTTTTGTTAATGTTTTTAACCAACTGAAATGACTATATAACCTTGTCATGGTCTCTATATAACAGCTACATACAAGAGACCAGGGACTATAATACACTATATACTTGTCATGGTCTCTATATACAAGAGACCAGGGACTATAGCACACTATATACTTATCACGATCTCTATATACAAGAGACCAGGGACTATAACACACTATATACTTGTCATGGTCTCTATATAACAACTACATACAAGAGACCAGGGACTATAACACACTATATACTTGTCACGGTCTCTATATAACAATTACATACAAGAGACCAGGGACTATAATACACTATATACTTGTCACGGTCTCTATATAACAATTACATACAAGAGACCAGGGACTATAATACACTATATACTTGTCATGGTCTCTATATAACAATTACATACAAGAGACCAGGGACTATAATACACTATATACTTGTCATGGTCTCTATATAACAATTTCATAACATGGGACCATTGACATATTACAATCACAAACACAGATGGTCTCATGTTTACAACACTGTAGCATGAGACCATTGACATATAACAGTCTTAAACATAGATGGTCTCATGTTTACAACATTGTAGCATGAGACCATTGACATATAACAGTCTTAAACACAGATGGTCTCATGTTTACAACACTGTAGCATGAGACCATTGACATATTACAGTCACAAACATAGATGGTCTCATTTTACAACACTGTAGCATGAGACCATTGACATATAACAGTCTTAAACAACAGATGGTCTCATGTTTACAGTACTGTAGCATGAGACCATTGACATATTACAGTCAAAAACATAGATGGTCTCATGTTTACAGTACTGTAGCATGAGACCATTGACATATAACAGTCACAAACACACATGGTCTCATGTTTACAACACTGTAGCATGAGACCATTGACATATAACAGTCTTAAACATAGATGGTCTCATGTTTACAACACTGTAGCATGAGACCATTGACATATTACAGTCACAAACATAGATGGTCTCATGTCTACAACACTGTAGCATGAGACCATTGACATATAACAGTCTTAAACAGGCATGGTCTCATGTATACAACACTGTAGCATGAGACCATTGATATATTACAGTCACAAACATAGATGGTCTCATTTATACAACACTGTAGCATGAGACCATTGACATGTAACAGTCTTAAACACAGATGGTCTCATGTTTACAGTACTGTAGCATGAGACCATTGACATATTACAGTCACAAACATAGATGGTCTCATGTATACAACACTGTAGCATGAGACCATTGACATATAACAGTCTTAAACAGGCATGGTCTCATGTTTACAACACTGTAGCATGAGACCATTGACATATTACAGTCACAAACATAGATGGTCTCATGTATACAACACTGTAGCATGAGACCATTGACATATTACAGTCACAAACATAGATGGTCTCATGTTTACAACACTGTAGCATGAGACCATTGACATATAACAGTCTTAAACAGGCATGGTCTCATGTATACAACACTGTAGCATGAGACCATTGATATATTACAGTCACAAACATAGATGGTCTCATTTATACAACACTGTAGCATGAGACCATTGACATATAACAGTCTTAAACACAGATGGTCTCATGTTTACAGTACTGTAGCATGAGACCATTCACATATAACAGTCACAAACACACATGGTCTCATGTTTACAACACTGTAGCATGAGACCATTGACATATAACAGTCTTAAACATAGATGGTCTCATGTTTACAATACTGTAGCATGAGACCATTGACATATAACAGTCTTAAACAGGCATGGTCTCATGTTTACAACATTGTAGCATGAGACCATTGACATATAACAGTCTTAAACAGGCATGGTCTCATGTTTACAACACTGTAGCATGAGACCATTGACATATTACAGTCACAAACATAGATGGTCTCATGTTTACAACACTGTAGCATGAGACCATTGACATATAACAGTCTTAAACAGGCATGGTCTCATGTTTACAACACTGTAGCATGAGACCATTGAATTATAACAGTCTTAAACGCAGATGGTCTCATGTTTACAACACTGTAGCATGAGACCATTGACATATTACAGTCACAAACATAGATGGTCTCATGTTTACAACACTGTAGCATGAGACCATTGACATATAACAGTCTTAAACATAGATGGTCTCATGTATACAATACTGTAGCATGAGACCATTGACATATAACAGTCTTAAACAGGCATGGTCTCATGTTTACAACACTGTAGCATGAGACCATTGACATATAACAGTCACAAACATAGATGGTCTCATGTATACAACACTGTAGCATGAGACCATTGTCATATTACAGTCTTAAACAGGCATGGTCTCATGTATACAACACTGTAGCATGAGACCATTGATATATTACAGTCACAAACATAGATGGTCTCATGTCTACAACACTGTAGCATGAGACCATTGACATGTAACAGTCTTAAACACACATAGTCTCATGTTTACAACACTGTAGCATGAGACCATTGACATATTACAGTCACAAACACAGATGGTCTCGTGATTACAACACTGTAGCATGAGACCATTGACATATAACAGTCACAAACACAGATGGTCTCATGTATACAACACTGTAGCATGAGACCATTGACATATAACAGTCACAAACAGGCATGGTCTCATGTATACAACACTGTAGCATGAGACCATCAACATATAACAGTCTTTAGCATAGATGGTCTCATGTATACAACACTGTAGCATGAGACCATTGACATATTACAGTCACAAACATAGATGGTCTCATGTTTACAACACTGTAGCATGAGACCATTGACATATAACAGTCTTAAACATAGATGGTCTCATGTTTACAACACTGTAGCATGAGACCATTGACATATAACAGTCTTAAACAGGCATGGTCTCATGTTTACAACACTGTAGTATGAGACCATTGACACATTACAGTCACAAACATAGATGGTCTCATGTATACAGCAGTGTAGCATGAGACCATTGATATATTACAGCCACAAACATAGATGGTCTCAGTTATACAACACTGTAGCATGAGACCATTGATATGTAACAGTCTTAAACATAGATGGTCTCATGTATACAACACTGTAGCATGAGACCATTGACATATAACAGTCTTAAACACAGATGGTCTCATGTTTACAGTACTGTAGCATGAGACCATTGACATATTACAGTCAAAAACATAGATGGTCTCATGTTTACAGTACTGTAGCATGAGACCATTGACATATAACAGTCTTAAACAGGCATGGTCTCATGTTTACAACACTGTAGCATGAGACCATTGACATATAACAGTCTTAAACAGGCATGGTCTCATGTTTACAACACTGTAGCATGAGACCATTGACATATAACAGTCTTAAACATAGATGGTCTCATGTTTACAACACTGTAGCATGAGACCATTGACATATAACAGTCTTAAACAGGCATGGTCTCATGTTTACAACACTGTAGCATGAGACCATTGACATATTACAGTCACAAACATAGATGGTCTCATGTATACAACACTGTAGCATGAGACCATTGACATATAACAGTCTTAAACACAGATGGTCTCATGTTTACAACATTGTAGCATGAGACCATTGACATATTACAGTCACAAACATAGATGGTCTCATGTCTACAACACTGTAGCATGAGACCATTGACATATAACAGTCTTAAACATAGATGGTCTCATGTATACAACACTGTAGCATGAGACCATTGACATATAACAGTCTTAAACATAGATGGTCTCATGTTTACAACACTGTAGCATGAGACCATTGACATATTACAGTCACAAACATAGATGGTCTCATGTATACAACACTGTAGCATGAGACCATTGACATATAACAGTCTTTAGATGGTCTCATGTTTACAATACTGTAGCATGAGACCATTGACATATAACAGTCTTAAACATAGATGGTCTCATGTATACAACACTGTAGCATGAGACCATTGACATATAACAGTCTTAAACAGGCATGGTCTCATGTTTACAATACTGTAGCATGAGACCATTGACATATTACAGTCACAAACATAGATGGTCTCATGTATACAACACTGTAGCATGAGACCATTGTCATATTACAGTCTTAAACAGGCATGGTCTCATGTATACAACACTGTAGCATGAGACCATCGATATATAAAAGTCAAAAACATAGATGGTCTCATGTTCACAACACTGTTAGCATTAGACCATTGACATATAACAGTCACAAACATAGATGGTCTCATGTCTACAACACTGTAGCATGAGACCATTGACATATAGCAGTCACACCCCTCCCCATCCCCCACCCCCCCAAAAAAAACAATGTTATTTTGTGAAATGCTATATTATATGGGAAGCTTACATTATTTCCTATGTTTATGTAATTAAACAATTTAAGACTATAATAATTTTAATGGTACACACTCTATATCCTTTTTTCAGTGCCCCACACATTATGGATGATAATTTTGTAAATTAGAGCAGTACTTTCTCGAGAGGGGCCCTTTGTTTTTCTGGACATCAGAATTTTATATCAATGGATTGTCCTGGAATTGCCATACAGGTATGTGATGAAAATTACAAGAGCTGATTTGTATGGCTAGCTTAAATATCTTACTTGAGGAAATAACCAATCACAATGAATTAAGTTAATTACAGTTCTATATATAGAGAGAGACAATTTCTTCTTATTATTTAATCAATCACATTTTTAGGCCCACAGTATTAATTTTGACTCATATAAGAGGAATATCATATATTAAGCAGGCTTTTTCCATTGAACTAAAGGAAACTGTCCTTTAACATGTGCATGAAGCAGCTCCCTGGATGGTGTGTAGTCTGTTTGTCAACATGTGGAGCCCAGGTGTATATCAAGCTGTACAGCGACTATCAGAATTTCGGAGCAAATCAAAGATCTGATTTTAATCAGATTGATTTCAAAGAAGGTATGTTTACTGTCAATTTTCTTTTTTATTTTAAAGCTGCATCAGGTGTGTTTTTTCCTATTCAAATTTTTGTGTAAGTACATGTATTATTTTTATTTTCTCTTACATTAATTTACTGCAGAGGGTCTAGTTAATAAATTTGAAAGATATAAAGTAGCATATAGTCAATAATTTCTATGTGTGAATCCTAAAGAGTATAAGGTAACTCTCATTTTGACTATAATTTCTCTGATTTCAGTAGTAGTCTCCCCTGTTAAAGATCAGTAATGGTGGATATACAATGCTGGATGCAGTCTGGTCATCAACAGAGAGTTTTGACACCTGTAATTTGCCTCTGTAACCTTTGCTGTGTTTATCAGACAGGTAAAAAAATGAAGATAAATGATCAAAATAATTTAATGAGATTAATAATAAAAACTGAACCATTCTTTAATACATGTATAAGAATTAAAACACAATTATTAACACATACAATTATACATAATGTTCATATTTCCCCCATTTGCCTGATTGAATAGAATCAGTGCATAATAAAACATAAAACAAAATTTATAATATGTAAGGCAATTCACAAATTATGTATTACATACAAATTTCATACTTTTGAATTAAAAACACACAATCAATGATTTCATATGTACAACCATTCATTTCCTTAGTAAATATTATTGTACATTTCGTAATATGCAATAGGATGATTATCTTGAGCAATGAATAAATTACAGTTCCCCCTTTCAAAGTCTTATAACTTCCTCTTTTTTATTTTAGAGATCAACTGTACGTTTCTTAAAAAAAAAAATTCTTACAAATGATATCTTTTTATAGATCTTTAATTTTTTGTTGATAATTATATTTTATTCTACCACTTTAAATTTTAAAATACAGTTATTCTTGTACACCGGACATTAGCCTTTCTCCAATAAGCATTACACAAAATTTATCACGAACGTCATACAAAAAAATTATCATGATCATAGAAACACGTATCAAAGGAAACACAATTTCCTGGATGGTGTGCATGTTTTTTTAGAATGTGAATAGGTGTATTAGCTGTACAGCCGCATCGATGTGTCAAAGTCTTTTAATAAACACTTCAAAAAATTGTTTATGTCATTTTTCTGAAGAATGTCGGTTTTTAAGCTAAGCGATTCTAAATTTTTGTGTAAGTACATTAACTTTATTTTCTGTACATTAATTTACTGCAGAGTTAATAAATTTGATAAAGCTATAAAGAAGCATATTGAATAATTTCTATGTGTGAATCCTAAAGAGTATAAGGTAACTCATTTGACTATAATTTCGTGATTTCAGTAGTAAAACCCTGTTAAAGATCAATTTTGTTTGATATACAATGCTGGATTTAACTTCATCAACAGAATTTGAACACCTTAATTCGCCTCTGTAACCTTTGTAAAAAGGACATTTTTAAAAAAATGAAGATAAGATCAAAATAATTCATTGAGATTAATAATAAAAAATGAACCATTCTTTAATACATGTTTACGAATTAAAACACAATTATTAACACACACAATTATACATAATGTTCATATTTCCCCCATTTGCATGATTGAATAGAATCAGAGCATAATAAAACATAAAACAAAATTTATAATATGTAAGGCAATTCACAAATTATGCATTACATACAAATTTCATACTTTTGAATTAAAAAAACACAATCAATGATTTCATATGTACAACCGTTCATTTCCTAAGTAGATACCGTATAAGAAGAATTTTTAGCGAGGATTTAATTTTGGCATTATTAGTGAGAGTGGCGAGATCACTAAAATTAAATATCGCTAAAAATTAATTGCGATTTCTTTGTAATAGCTTCTTTAGTTTGCATTTTAAAATCGCTAAAATAACATCTCGCCAAAAATAAATTCAAAGTTTTAAAGACAAATCGCTAAATTTGCGTCTCGCTAAAATTTCCACTTATACGGTATTATTGTACATTTTGTAATATGCAATAGGATGTTTGTCTTGAGCAATAAATAAATTACAATTCCCCCTTTCAAAGTCTTATGACTTATCTTTTTTTATTTTGGGTCTGTTAGTGATTAACTGTACGTGTCTTTAAAAAAAATTTCTTACAAATGATATCTTTTTACAGATCTTTAATTTTTTTGTTGATAATTATATTTTAACAGTTTTTATTTCATTTAAATGTAATTTAGTCTATCTTGTTGGTTTTTTTTTAGATGATGAATCAGTCTACTTCTTTTTACAAGAGGTGCCCCTCCAGACTCACAAAGATCCAAAGTTGAGTTTCCATGACACCTATTCAGTGAGTGCACAGTTTAATGTATTCTACTTTTAAACTTTTTACTAATTAATATACATTTTGGATTTAATTTTCACAGACCTCAGAAGTACAAGTTTGATATTTAATTATGTCAAGATTACTTGGTCTTCTTTTTGGGATGTAAACTTCAAGATAAATAGTGTAATGTAGGATTTTGCCTTAAGTTGAGGTAAGCTCTGTAATCACTGATTACATATACATGTATTTATTAACATAGTTGATAATTTTTTCCCCTTTTGTTGCAGGTCTAATGCATGTTGGCAACTGATGCTGGTTCTATTTTCACCAAGAAGCATACCATGCATACCACCGGTAACCAAGTGACGGACAGGCATAACCACACTTAGGCATGCAGCTCTTCGTCCCCTTCCAGATCTCCTAACCTCTTTGTAAAGCTTTTCTTGGTGACTGGTAAAGTGACATTTTTACAATAGATAGAAAGGATCCATGCCTGGCCTCGTTTTTCCTCTCCATGCTGATTACAGTCCAGTGAACCATCACAAACTTGAAACTTTGGTGAGTTTCTTAAAATGCATGGTTCCAACTCACACAAAAAGGTCTTAGTCAAGTCAAGGTCAAGCTCCAAATACATTCCTCTAAACCAAGTCTATTTCTTCCAAATGAAACTTACGAAAAACAGCAGGCCCCTTAAGATGATCACTATCCAATTGATATCTAGGTAGACCATTTCTGCTTGTGGATGACATCTTAACATCTGAATTTTTTAATAGTAATTATTTAAATGTTATTCATGTATATTGAATTGCTATGCCTTTTTGAAGTTTGTATGTTTATAGCTTCCACATGTACTCAGACCTTTTTATGCCCCACCATGAATATGGCCGGGCATATAGTGTTTGTCATGTCCGTCTTCTGTCCTTCTGTCCTTCCGTCTTTCCGTCACACTTTGTGTTTAGCTCGGTTCAAAGTATAAGCTAAGTTTCAAAGAAACTATCCAAGATATTTTCATCAAACTTCATATGCTGATAGATATTGAGAGCTATGTAACTGCATCGACATTTTTTGACCTTGACCTTTACTTTGACCTTGACCTCACTTTTCTTAAATTAGTGTTTAGCTCAGTTTTAAACATACCATTCAAGATGGTGTTATCAAACTTCACATGTTGATACAAACTTGCATGGATGATGCATCTAGGGATGAACACTACCAGACTTGCTTTGGATGCTAGATCTGACCTACATTTTCCAGATGAGTGACCAGATTAAATTTTTGGAGCAGGTCCATTTCTAAGGAACTATATGCCCTACTTGGACCAAACTTGCATGGATGATGCTTCTAAGGATGGACACTACCAGACTTGCTTCGGATGCTGGATCTGACCTACATTTTTATTCCCTAGTAACTATAAGCCCTACCTGAACCAAACTGATCAAATTTTATACACATACAAATGTTCACCTTGCTTTACTAATATATCCTCTGCGGGGCATTCGTGTCCTATGGACATATTTCTAGTTTGAATTAAAAAATTTTTTTTATTAATTCATGATTTATTATTTAACATTGACTTTTCTTGTATTTCAGCGATGTACCCTTCCTTATGATTTGTCCTTGTACCCACCATTCTCTGCCCAAACAGCCAATGCAATGAAGAAGAAAATGTGGGGTTGAAGTGGATTAAAGATCAACTTTTCTATATGACAGCAAATATTTTCTTGGTGCATTGTATATTTGACTTGTAGAACAAGAATTTATCGAAGTTGTCATTAATTTAAGAAAAAAGCACAATTTTCACACTCATGTAAGAAGAGAAATATAATAGAGTATTGAATACTATGTTAGAATTTTTAGTCAAGCATGTGTTAATTACAAATTGAAATGCAAAACTTTCAATAGCAGATTGAATAACGTAAATCTAGAAATTTTTGCTGTAGATAAATTTTTAGCAAATTTGCGAGTTCATTGCATTCACAAAAATATATTTCTTAAAATTAATTCAACAATAAGAAAATTTAAACAAAGTAGTGGTCATTTGCAAAATTTTGAAACGTAAAAAATTAATTGATGTAAAAATTTCCAAATTTACGGTAGTTACTGTGTAGATTATTATGAATATTAGGTCACCCAAGTCAGTCTAACAATGGTGCACTATCATATGGAAATTTTCAACTTCTTCTTTGAAACCACTTAAGCAGTCTTAATTAATTTTGGCATACAGTTTGGCTCACCTATTAATTTATTCTTAGAAAAATTTCTATGCTCAGGGTTGTATTCTCCTCTGGTGACTGTTAAGGTCCATTGGCCCCTTGTTACTCTTTTACTTAAATATTTTGTTTTTAAGCTATTATTGCTGCAAGCATTTGCAAGCATTATAAGTATATTATTTTCTTTGTTAAGTTTGCTGTCATTTGTTTAATTTATAAGCTTTTCATGTGTACATTACTTATTATACACATATTATTTTTTGTTGTTAGCAAATAATTTGAATGTATGCACATGCCTTTAATTTGGATGAGAGCATATTTGTATATTTCAATATTTTCTTGAGCAATAAATATTGAATTGATTTCAGCATATTTTATTATGTATTCAAACATGAATTGAATGGCAGCAGGCATATTTTGATAAATTGAATACTGCATTATAATGTTAAACATGACCAGTTATTGTTACACTACCATTAAAGAACTCATATCTTATACATGTATGCACAGTTTATTCTTACTTGTTCTTCTTGTTTCCTTATTTTCAAGGTCTGTACAAGTGTTCTGGTTACCATATACATGTACAGATTTAGCCCTAGTTAAAATCAATTTTTTGAGCCAATTTTACTATTTAAACCAAATTACATGTATATGAAATTCAAATTATGACAAAATTATTTCTTGTTTGAAATGGAAACATTCCTCTAGTCTCCTTAACACTTGATGTTTGAAGGAATATCTGAAATGTTGAATTGCATTTAGATGTTTATTAATGTGTTCTGATCATTACACTTAAAGTAAACTGTTCTCTTCAGTTTCAAATCCTTTCTCCTTATTCTGTATCATTAAGTAGTCAAAAGTGAAATGCCCTGTTCTCAGAGAGCACCTGGCTAGTGATGCAGTGGTCCTAGTTCCATTCCTAGTCCAATCATACATTTTCTTCTTTTCTGTCACACATTATGGACTAACAACAAAAATTTAAAGTTCAAAACCAAAGGATGGAGATTACAGTTAACTTGAAGGAAAATTGAATATGAAATGCATATGTTCCCAACAATTAAAAGAGTCAGCTTTAATTTGGAGAATTTTTACATATACTAATATAAGGACAACTATGGATGAGCTAATAGACAGAGGCAGCCATTGTACACATTCTGATATACTAGTATATGTGACAAGCAAAGCATCTTAACATTTTGAACTTCATTTTTATTTAACTCAAAATTATTTGACCTTGTGGCCTTAAATAAATAGGAGTTTATATTCCACTGAAGATAATCCGAGAATATGAATAAAGGGATAGGCACAATCAAAAGCCTTTTGTTTGATGTTGGAGGGAATATCTACGTAAGACTTGCACTAACATCACAAAATGATACATAAATACCCCCCATCCCCACCCCCATGCATGTGAGTAAAAAAGGGATTCTGTAAAGGCTTCATTGAATATTCTGGGATTTAGGAGTAGTTGCACTAACGAATTGGGTACGTCCTTATTAAGTATATGGCAAGACTCATCTTGTCCTGTAGGGAACAAAATTATCTGTCCGGTCAAAGCGTAAAGTAGGAGGTTCAAGATGGCACTATGAAATAAAGTTTCAAGTTGTAAAGAGATCGGTCCACAGTATTATAGAAAGAAAGACAAAGACAGGGTTTTTTGATTGGAAAACCCAAATTTAAATTCTATCGAAACATGAATTGCACAATCGCACTATGGAACTAAATGTATTGTAAGCAATGAGTTCCTCCCATTTGAATATAATGACAGTTTCCATGTTTTGCTATGGGAAACCCAAAATATGTATCGGATCAAAAAGTAAAATAGGAGGTGCACAATGGCAATATGTAATAAAGATTATGTGAAAGTTTCATTAAATCTCATTCAGTGGTATGAGAGGAGTTGCGGATAAGAGATGGACCCTAACACTAGCTCTAAGTCTAACCCTAACCCTAGCTCTAGCTCTAACCCTAATGCTAATCCTAACCCTTGCAGACTAACCCTAACCCTAACCCTAGCTCTAAATCTAACCCTAACCCTTACCCTAGCTCTAAGTCTAACTCTAATCCTAGCTCTAAGTATAACACTAACCCTAGCTGTAGCTCTAACCCTAATGCTAATCCTAACCCTTGCAGACTAACCCTAACCCTAACCCTAGCTCTAACTCTAACCCTAATGCTAACCCTAAACCTTGCAGACTAACCCTAACCCTAACCCCAGCTCTAAGTCTAACCCTAACCCTAGCTCTAAATCTAACTCTTAACCCTAACCCTAGCTCTAAATCTAACCCTAACCCAGACCCTAGCTCTAAGTCTAACCCTAACCCTAGCTCTAAGTCTAACCCTAACCCTAGCTCTAGCTCTAACCCTAATGCTAACCCTAAGCCTTGCAGACTAACCCTAACCCTAACCCTAGCTCTAAATCTAACCCTAACCCTTACCCTAGCTCTAAGTCTAACTCTAATCCTAGCTCTAAGTCTAACCCTAACCCTAGCTCTAGCTCTAACCCTAATGCTAATCCTAACCCTTGACTAACCCTAACCCAGCTCTAAACTTAACCCCTAAGTCCCTAACCCTACCCTAACCCCCTAGCTCTAACCCTCTAACCCTTGCAGACTAACCCTAACCCTAACCCTAGCTCTAAATCCAACCCTAACCCTAGCTCTAAGTCTAATCCTAACCTAACCCTAGTAACAGACAGACGGCTGGGCGTACAGACGGACGGACAAACCGATTACAGTATACCCGCCCACTTTTCAAGCGGGGGGTATAATGATACTTTCAAAGATTCTTTAATATAGATAATGTCATTTTGCACCTCTTATGTATACCCCCGCTAGAAAAATAGTAATCGGGATGTCCGTCTGTCTGTTAACGTCTGGCTTGTTTTTATCTGTTTAGTAGTATGTCATGTCCCTTTTATTGTTAGTGTTGGTAAATTGTTTGATCTGTCCATAAGTTGTTATATACATGTACACCGTTTCTCTTCCCTGGTATATATTAATTTATTGAAAATTAACAAAATCCCTTGAAATTTTCACATATATTTATGCACATCATGTAATGTCTAATATCAAGGTTTAACTACAAGTAATTTGACAAACTATTTGAACAATTTTGTTGAATTGTAAAGTGGATTAGACATTGAATATCTTCAATGTTTAGCCATTGTTTTGATTTATATTACTTTTCCACATGCAGCGCAATTATGCAAAATATTTATGCAAATATTATAAATAAAGTTTATATAGATTTAAGTTGTTTTTTTTTTGGTGGTCTTAAAACTTTCTAGTCATGTCATTTTGAAAATTCAATTTTCAAAATTAAGCTGGCCACGGAAGCTACCATCTGGTGTAGTCAGATATTGGTGATATTTCTATAGAAATCTCTATGATTATTGTAAATATCAAAGAAACTCCCATTGAAATTATTTGACTTGAAAGGACACATATTACAACTACAAAATCTTTCGACTGAAATAATGTATCTCTAAACTAAATTTAAATTTGTGTAAACTAAATTTTATTTGAAAAATTACAAGCAGAACAAAAGCCTAACAGACGGACAGACAGATGGACTGAATCACTATATATATACCCTCACACTTTTCAAGCGGGTTTTTACAAATAAGAATGTCTTCGCATATATATAATCTTGCCATGAAAGTGGACGTCATATAAATATCATAAAGAAAAAAAATCCCTGAATGACAGGAATTTTGTTTGATATGCTTTATATACAGAGTCTTGGGGTTTTTAATTTGTTTAAATATTTGATTTTAAATTAATTTTGAATTACATATCACCAGAGCTTCTCTATTTATAAGCAAACGTGTTCTAAATAGCCACGAGCTTCACCTATAAACTATCATTAATCTTTTCATCCCATTTTAACCTAATTAATTTCATATACATGTATAGTGAGTAACATGCAACCACCCGATTGTAGAAAACGTATATGAGAATCTACTTTGGGGGAGGGGGTGGGGGTTGACGTGTTCCATTTTCACGTCCCAGTTTATCATCCCGTTGATGTTCAAATGGTTCCAGTTATTAGTAATATGGGGGAGGGGGTAATAAAATTGTCATTTCATAGAGTATATAATATATTCGACAGATCCTATACGGGTATGATCTTTCTACCATGGATATATGTGAACATGTGCTTACCGAGCATTTTTAATTGTGTCTAATTCACCAGGACAGTAGATAATTGAAATAAATTAACAGGAAAAAATGTGAAACTGACAGATTTACTGGTTGAGCAATTTTGTTTTCCTTGATGAAGATATTTTAGCCTGTAAAAAATAAAATTTAAAAAGAGTGAAAAAATGATTTTGCTGTCCGAGATTGCCTTTGACTTCGAAAATGTGATAATAAAGAAAAAGTGTCCACGATAATACCGGACGGGTGTTACATCCCTTATAAGTAGTTACATGAATTATTTTAGGGTGAGAGCAAAATGGTCGTAAAATATCATCACTATGGTTCAATGCATGCTTAAGCATCATAGGCGTCGGAACCGGGGGGGGGGGGGGGGGGGGGGGGGTCGCAAAAATAAACCTTATAACCTTAAATAGGCATTGAAAATCATGATTTACCTTTTTTTGTTGGTTTAGCCTCCCCCCTTTCGATTATCCCCCCACTTTCAATTCGCTTCCGACGCCCATGAGCATACTAGAGGAATATCACTTTGATGCTTGCATTAAAACAATCTTTATAAATTAATGTTGCCAGCACCGGTGTAGTGTTCAGGAACTCAAGGAATGTTTTAATGCAAGTATCATTTGAATAATTAGATTAATTGGCTATTGCTCTCATCAATGGCATAAATGTTCACTTTATTGCTCTATATATATGAGAATAATAATAAATTTGATGTTTGCATCCATTCAATTATTGTGTGCATTAATAAAATTAATAGGATTTTAAATTAACTATAAATTTTTCAATTCTTTGAAATTTCACGCATTTAAAAGTTTGCTGATTACATGTATCCATAAGAGGTTAATGTAGTTGTTGCATTTTATTGAAATTTCCTGTTTATTTTTCAAATCCAATCACACATATTAAACTTTGTGGTGACATCTCCCATGACTTTGAACAACTCAAAAGGTTAGGTTACTTAAACAAATGTCAAAGCTGAACTTAATTCCTGAACAACAAAATCAAAGTGCTACATAATGGAGAGGAAATATGATGGATACAATTTATTCTCAAACATATTGATGGAATAAACACACAGAGAATTTCTTTTTGTTGTTTTATTTTTTATATAAAAAAAACTTTGAAATTCTTTCTTTTCATATGGATGTACATAATATGTTGTTTTTTTTATGTCAATAAAGCAGATTATTTACCATTCCATGACAACTACTTTAAAATACTTGTGTATAATGTGTAAAAATTTGTCAAGAAAAAAAACGTTTTTTATTTTAATATAATTATATATGTTTTGAACTGTCAAATACGGAGACACTGGAATCATTCATTAAAATAATTACTGGTATATAATAAATAGTGATATCAGTAAATATTGAAAAGTATACATATCTGTTAATATATTATTACAGTATGAAAATGAAGGATACATTTACACGTACACCTAAATAACCCTGAAAAATATTCTGAGCATAAAATATTTAACCTTATTTCATATAATCAAACTGCATCTACTCTGCCTGATACACAATTATACATCTCTTTCAAAAAGTTTTCTGAATGTCAAAAAAATATATCTGATTACAAGAATATGAAAATAGACACCATACATATATGAAGCTTGATCATGAGATTTTTGGTACAGTCCATCAGTACATCATCTGATACAGAAAAGCACCATAAAAATGACATGTTAAAAAACAGTTTTTAATATACAAATGTACATGATTTCATAGATGTTCAATAATCAATATATCATATTCAACCAATGTATATGAAAAATAATTACAGTAAAACTCGTTTAGTATGAACAAGGATATTGCGAATTCACGGTTACAACGAAGTCATCTTGGATCCCCAGCTATATAAAGTTAATGAATTTCTTATACGGTTATAATGAATTACGGATATAGTGAAGTAATTTTATAAGTCCCAGCCAATTTGTCATAACCAAGTTTTACTGTATAATTTACATATGCAGTATATATATTCTTTTTCAAGAAAGTTTAAAGACTCACATATCTCATATGACATAGCACACACTGTATTGATAAAAATAAGAAGTAACATACTTCACTAGATAGATTGCTAAATTTCTCATGAGATAAGAATAAACTCTTTATATTAACTAGACAAAATTTTCAAGAATTGTGGTTGTAGCTCTTTATATTCTTACGGAATGCTATTGTACCACAGAATCAAATTTTTGTGAGATCAAAGTCTCATGTAATTACACGAAAACAAAGTTCTCCTGAATAAAAAGTGAGCCACAGTACAGTTCCTTGTTGTAAATTACTGGAAAGTTCAGGAAATGCCCATTTGTGTCTTTAAAAACTGGAAGTGGTATCAAATCATAACAATCCTTTATAACCAACCTGAAATATAAACATAATAAATATACATATACATACAGATGTATCCATTTATAGGTACAAAAAGCCAAAAAGCATGAAAAGGGGATATAGTTGAATAAAAATGGAATCAAAAGAATTGTATCAATACTTCTAGCAGGGTACGGTATAAATTGCTTTAATTATTTTTGTCTTCTTTTTTTTTTAAAATCTTTTCAGTTACTAACATTGAAAGAATTAATGTTACAATTCTTTTATTGTTCTGCTAAGAATGATTGTAAAAAAGAAAATATGCATACCAGGTTTTCTCTGTGAAGTTGGGCCTCTTGACAAATGTGGCACAGTCCAATTAAAAATCTGAGAAAATAAAAATAATAGAAAAATAAAAGACACTTTACAAGAAAATATAAATTGTATGATATTTTATATATGTATATATATAGTGTATAATATACTGTTACAGTATGTATACTTAAAAAAAGCAGGCTTCATATTTCAGCAGATATGGCATGGACAACAATGAACTAATTCATGAATACAACTAAAAAATCATTTAATTATCCATACAAAGTAAAGTGTGGACATGTGTAAGGCTGATTTATAATTGTACTAACCACTCACTACTCAGTGATTGCGCTAAATTTTGAATACGCCAATTTATGTACACATTCAGTATATCAGGGTAAAACAAGCAGAGAGGCTCTGTACAGAAACAACTTGGTAGACTTACCTTTCAGGAAGCTGGCTACTGTTGTTGGTTCCATCATAAACTGCTTCCAAGGACAGCGCAAAAAGTCCTGTCAACTATATTCCTTTTCCTGTGGTGGACTGAAAAGGCAACAAGTGGAAATCTTCAGTGTTGCCTTGTGACTTTGAATTAGAAATGACAGATAAGAAGACAAATGTTTGTTTAAAGACTGCATACAGTATAAATTTGACTGTAGGTCCAAGTAATCTTGAGATAATTAAATATCAAACTTGTACTTCTGAGATCTGTGAAAATCAAATCCAAAATGTATTTTAACTAGTAAAAAGTTTTAAAGTAGAATACATTAAATTGTGCACTCACTGAATAGGTGTCATGGAAACTCAACATTGGAACTTTGTGAATATGGAGGGGTACCTCTTGTAAAAAGAAGTAGACTGGTTCATCATCTAAAAAAAAAAAAACAACAAGATAGACTAAATTACTTTTAAATGAAATAAAAACTATCAAAATATAAATATCAACAAGAGATGTTTGTAAAACACTTATCCCCCCTCCAAATTGGAATTTTTATGTAAGTCCGAGGGGCATAACTATTGTCAAAAATAAACACTATTGATACAAAATGTACCCAAAACAGTACTTGACCTAGATATTCATCTGATTAATCTGTATATTAAATTTCATCTCAGTATGTGCAACAGTTGCAAAGAAAATGAACGGAAACTGCAAATAATTGAATTTTTTTCAAACTCCAAGGGGCAAAACTCTGTCAAAAATGGTGCGATCGTACAGAACTTGGCCTAGATATTCATGTGATATATATGTATACCAAATTTGATTTCAGTATGTGCAACGGTTATGAAGAAAATGAATGGAAACTAAATGGACCGACAGACCGACCGACAGACAGCAGCAAAGCAATAAGCCCTCCCTTCTTCGAAGGGGGGCATAACAAAAAAATTAAAGATCTAAAAGATATCATTTGTAAGAAAAAAAATCTAAAGACACGGAACAGTTAATCACTAACAAAACTAAAATAAAAAAGAGGAAGTTGTAAGACTTTAAAAGGAGGAATTGTAATTTATTTATTGCTCAAGATAAACATCCTATTGCATATTACAAAATGTACCACAAAATTTAGGTAGAAAATGAACGGTTGTAGATGTGAAATCATTGATTCTGTGTTTTAAATTCAAAAGTATGAAATTTGGATGCAATACCTAATTTGTGAATTGCCTTACATGTTATAAATATTGCTATATTTTATTATGCACTGATTCAATTAAATCATGCAAATGTAGGAAATATGAACATTATGTATAATTGTATGTGTTAATAATTGTGTTTTAATTCGTATACATGTATTTAAGTATGGTTTATTTTTTAATATTAATCTCATTAAAATTATTTTGATTATTTATCTTGTTTTTTTTACCTGTCTGATAAACACAGCAAAGGTTACAGAGGCAAATTACAGGTGTCAAAACTCTCTGTTGATGACCAGACTGCATCCAGCATTGTATATCCACCCATTACTGATCTTTAACAGGGGAGACTACTCCTGAAATCAGAGAAATTATAGTCAAAATGAGGGTTACCTTATACTCTTTGGGATTCACACATAGAAATTATTCCCTATATGCTTCTCTATAGCTTTATCAAATTTATTAACTAGACCCTCTGCAGTAAATTAATGTAAGAGAAAATAAAGATTAATACGAGTATGTACTTACACAAAATTTGAATCAAAAAAAAAAAAAAAACACACCTGATGCAGCTTTTTAAAAAAGAAAATTGACAGTAAACATACCTACCTTTAAATCAATCTGATTAAAATCAGATCTTTGTTTTGCTCCAACATTCTGATAGTCGCTGTACAGCTTGATATACACCTGGGCTCCACATGTTGACAAACAGACTACACACCATCCAGGGAGCTGCTTCATGCACATGTTAAAGGACAGTTTCCTTTAGTTCAATGGAAAAAGCCTGCTTAATATATGATATTCCTCTTATATGAGTCAAAATTAATACTGTAGGCCTAAAAATGTGATTAATTAAAAAATAAGAAGAAATTGTCTCTCTCTATATATAAAACTGTACCCAGTAATTAACTTAATTCATTGTGATTAGTTATTTCCTTGAGTAAGATCTTTAAGTTAGCCATACAAAACAGCTCTTGTAATTTTCATCACCTACCTGTATGGCAATTTCCAGGACAATCCATTGATATAAAATTCTGATGTCCAGAAAAACGAAGGGCCCCTCTCAAGACAGTACTGCTCTAATTTACATAATGTGTGGGGCGCTGAAAAAAGGTATAGAGTATTTACCATTAAACTTCTTTATCGTCTTAAATTGTTTAATTTCATAATCTAATTTTTGTTTTTAAAATGGTGAAAGACACATTAGGGAACTCATGGGACTTCATGAATTGTAACCATAACAAGCATAGGAAATATTGTAATGCTACCATATAATTTAGCATTTCAAATACTAGTAATAAATTTGTTTTTTTTTTTTTGGTGATTTTTATACATGTATGTCAATGGCCTCAAGCTATAGTGTTGTAAACAAGAGACCATCTATGTTTGTGACTGTTATATGTCAATGGTCTCAAACTACAGTGTTGTTAACATGAGACCATCTATGTTTAAGGCTGTTATATGTCAATGGTCTCATGCTACAGTGTTGTAAACATGAGACCATGCTATGTTTAAATGTTATATGTCAATGGTCTCATGCTACAGTGTTTATACATAGACCACACTGTAATATGTCAATGGTCTATGCTACAGTATTGTGAGAAACATGAGATATGTCTCTCTCATGAACTGTTTAAGACTTAATTTATTGTGATATGTCAATGGTCTCATCTACAGTGTTGTATACATGAGACCATCTATGTTATATTCCAGACTGATATATGTCAATGGTCTCATGCTACAGTGTTGTAAACATGAGACCATGCCTGTTTAAGACTGTTATATGTCAATGGTCTCATGCTACAGTATTGTATACATGAGACCATCTATGTTTAAGACTGTTATATGTCAATGGTCTCATGCTACAGTGTTGTAAACATGAGACCATCTATGTTTAAGACATATATATGTCAATGGTCTCATGCTACAGTGTTGTAAACATGAGACCATCTATGTTTAAGACTGATATATGTCAATGGTCTCATGCTACAGTGTTGTATACATGAGACCATCTATGTTTAAGACTGTTATATGTCAATGGTCTCATGCTACAGTGTTGTATACATGAGACCATCTATGTTTAAGACTGTTATATGTCAATGGTCTCATGCTACAATGTTGTAATCATGAGACCATCTATGTTTAAGACTGTTATATGTCAATGGTCTCATGCTACAGTGTTGTAAACATGAGACCATCTATGTTTAAGACTGTTATATGTCAATGGTCTCATGCTACAGTGTTGTAAACATGAGACCATCTATGTTTAAGACTGTTATATGTCAATGGTCTCATGCTACAGTGTTGTAAACATGAGACCATGCCTGTTTAAGACTGTTATATGTCAATGGTCTCATGCTACAGTATTGTATACATGAGACCATCTATGTTTAAGACTGTTATATGTCAATGGTCTCATGCTACAGTGTTGTAAACATGAGACCATGCCTGTTTAAGACTGTTATATGTCAATGGTCTCATGCTACAGTGTTGTATACATGAGACCATCTATGTTTAAGACTGTTATATGTCAATGGTCTCATGCTACAGTGTTGTAAACATGAGACCATCATGTTTAAGACTGTTATATGTCAATGGTCTCATGCTACAGTGTTGTAAACATGAGACCATGCCTGTTTAAGACTGTTATATGTCAATGGTCTCATGCTACAGTGTTGTAAACATGAGACCATCTATGTTTAAGACTGTTATATGTCAATGGTCTCATGCTACAGTGTTGTAAACATGAGACCATCTATGTTTAAGACTGTTATATGTCAATGGTCTCATGCTACAGTGTTGTAAACATGAGACCATATATGTTTAAGACTGTTATATGTCAATGGTCTCATGCTACAGTATTTTAAACATGAGACCATGCCTGTTTAAGACTGTTATATATCAATGGTCTCATGCTACAGTGTTGTAAACATGAGACCATCTATATTTAAGACTGATATATGTCAATGGTTTCATGCTACAGTATTTTAAAGATGAGACCATGCCTGTTTAAGACTGTTATATGTCAATGGTCTCATGCTACAGTGTTGTAAACATGAGACCATACCTGTTTAAGACTGTTATATGTCAATGGTCTCATGCTACAGTGCTGTAAACATGAGACCATCTATGTTTAAGACTGTTATATGTCAATGGTCTCATGCTACAGTGTTGCAAACATGAGATCATCTATGTTTAAGACTGTTATATGTCAATGGTCTCATGCTACAGTGTTGTAAACATGAGACCATCTATGTTTAAGACTGTTATATGTCAATGGTCTCATGCTACAGTGTTGTAAACATGAGACCATCTATGTTTAAGACTGTTATATGTATATGGTCTCATGCTACATGTAATTGTTAAACATGAGACCATGTGATGTATATAGTGTATTAATGGTCTCATGCTACAGTGTTGTATAGAGACCATGACAAGTATATGGTGTGTTATAGTCCCTGGTCTCTTGTATGTAATTGTTATATAGACTGTATATAGTGTGTTATAGTCCCTGGTCTCTTGTATGTAATTGTTATATAGAGACCATGACAAGTATATAGTGTGTTATAGTCCCTGGTCTTGTATGTAATTGTTAGTTATATAGAGACCATGACAAGTATATAGTGTGTTATAGTCCCTGGTCTCTTGTATGTAATTGTTATATAGAGACCGTGACAAGTATATAGTGTGTTATAGTCCCTGGTCTCTTGTATGTAATTGTTATATAGAGACCATGACAAGTATATAGTGTGTTATAGTCCCTGGTCTCTTGTATGTAATTGTTATATAGAGACCATGACAAGTATATTGTGTGTTATAGTCCCTGGTCTCTTGTATGTAATTGTTATATAGAGACCATGACAAGTATATAGTGTGTTATAGTCCCTGGTCTCTTGTATGTAATTGTTATATAGAGACCGTGACAAGTATATAGTGTGTTATAGTCCCTGGTCTCTTGTATGTAATTGTTATATAGAGACCATGACAAGTATATAGTGTGTTATAGTCCCTGGTCTCTTGTATGAAATAGTTATAAAGAGACCATGACATGTATATAGTGTATTATAGTCCCTGGTCTCTTGTATGTAATTATTATTTAGAGACCGCGACATGTATATAGTGTATTACAGTCCCTGGTCTCTTGTATGTAATTGTTATATAGAGACCACGACAAGTATATAGTGTGTTATAGTCCCTGGTCTCTTGTATGTAATTGTTATATAGAGACCATGACAAGTATATAGTGTGTTATAGTCCCTGGTCTCTTGTATGTAATTGTTATATAGAGACCATGACAAGTATATAGTGTGTTATAGTCCCTGGTCTCTTGTATGTAATTGTTATATAGAGACCATGACAAGTATATAGTGTGTTATAGTCCCTGGTCTCTTGTATGTAATTGTTATATAGAGACCATGGCAAGTATATAGTGTGTTATAGTCCCTGGTCTCTTGTATGTAATTATTATATAGAGACCATGATAAGTATATAGTGTGTTATAGTCCCTGGTCTCTTGTATGTAATTGTTATATAGAGACCGTGACAAGTATATAGTGTGTTATAGTCCCTGGTCTCTTGTATGTAATTGTTATATAGAGACCGTGACAAGTATATAGTGTTTTATAGTCCCTGGTCTCTTGTATGTAATTGTTATATAGAGACCATGACAAGTATATAGTGTTTTATAGTCCCTGGTCTCTTGTATGTAATTGTTATATAGAGACTGTGACAAGTATATAGTGTATTATAGTCCCTGGTCTCTTGTATGTAATTGTTATATAGAGACCATGACAAGTATATAGTGTATTATAGTCCCTGGTCTCTTGTATGTAATTGTTATTTAGAAACTGTGACAAGTATATAGTGTGTTATAGTCCCTGGTCATTTGTATGCAATTGTTATATAATGACCGTGACAAGTATATAGTGTGTTATAGTCCCTGGTCACTTTTCTGTATTTGTTATATAGAGAACATGACAAGTATATAGTGTGTTATAGTCCCTGGTCTCTTGTATGTAATTGTTATATAGAGACCGTGACAAGTATATAGTGTATTATAGTCTCTGGTCTCTTGTATGTAATTGTTATATAGAGACCATGACAAGTATATAGTGTGTTATAGTCCCTGGTCTCTTGTATGTAATTGTTATATAGAGACCATGACAAGTATATAGTGTGTTATAGTCCCTGGTCTCTTGTATGTAATTGTTATATAGAGACCATGACAAGTATATAGTGTATTATAGTCCCTGGTCTCTTGTATGTAATTGTTATATAGAGACCATGACATGTATATAGTGTATTATAGTCCCTGGTCTCTTGTATGTAATTGTTATATAGAGACCATGACAAGTATATAGTGTATTATAGTCCCTGGTCTCTTGTATGTAATTGTTATATAGAGACCGTGACAAGTATATAGTGTATTATAGTCCCTGGTCTCTTGTATGTAATTGTTATATAGAGACCATGACAAGTATATAGTGTGTTATAGTCCCTGGTCTCTTGTATGTAATTGTTATATAGAGACCGTGACAAGTATATAGTGTATTATAGTCCCTGGTCTCTTGTATGTAATTGTTATATAGAGACCGTGACAAGTATATAGTGTGTTATAGTCCCTGGTCTCTTGTATGTAATTGTTATATAGAGACCGTGACAAGTATATAGTGTATTATAGTCCCTGGTCTCTTGTATGTAATTGTTATATAGAGACCATGACAAGTATATAGTGTGTTATAGTCCCTGGTCTCTTGTGTGTAATTGTTATATAGAGACCATGACAAGTATATAGTGTGTTATAGTCCCTGGTCTCTTGTATGTTATTGTTATATAGAGACCATGACAAGTATATAGTGTGTATTATAGTCCCTGGTCTCTTGTATGTAGTTGTTATATAAAGACCATGACAAGTAATGAAGTACCTATAGTCATTTCAGTTGGTTAAAAACATTAAAAAAATGATCATCATGGCTTTCTATGTGAAAATCTGCATTTTAGACCATGACAAGGTTTATGTTATGTTACACTGTCACTTACTTGCAGCTTAATAGGCTGTAATCTGAAGATATCACAGGGCTTAATTATCATGTTGCAGGCTGTAATCTGAAGATATCATCAGGTCTTAATTATGATCCCATGCTGCACGTAGGCAATGCAAAAATGAAAGTAGCCTCGTTCTGATTAGTCACGTGATAGTTTTAATGAAAGAGACCACGGTCTCATCGCTGTTTCAAATAATTTTTTTGTATAGTAAATATACCTTGTGCTTTTAACTTACCGGGTATATCTTTATGTCAGAGTCTCAGACTCCTCGGCCCAACGTCAATTCGGCCCATTGACACCTCGGCCCAATGACACCTCGGCTCTGATAGGTTGGCCCAGGTTTGAAGACAGGTCGGCCAATCTATGAGACACCAAGGCCCAAATAGAATTTTCATTGAGAAATATGTAATATTTCCAATTTCAGAATTTGCTAATTGTAAAGTGAAAAAAAACAATCAGTCATTTTTTCCATTATTTATAAAGAAACTTAGCCAAAGAGATTAACTTTAATCAAGGAATGAGAAGACATAATTAAGGTGCTTAATCAGTCAATTGTTAAACAAAAAAAATCCATGGCATTCTTTTGGAATGGCAAATAAGTGTGTGTCGTACTGGTGACGATGAGGGGTAATTACGAGCAGGCTCCTTTGAATATTGTATCCAACATTTCGTATGAAAACATTCATAAAAGCTAATTAATGGTTTCCACCATAATGTACATTAAGAAAACTCATATAGATATTCGTTTTAATCCTCACATTAACCTCTCATGCTAAATAAAAAAAAAAAATCATGAAATATACTACATGTATTACTTTTTTTACTTGTACTTATAGCATTTATATTGCGCATTTCCACAATTCTAACACAAAATTTTGTTTGGGCCGAGGTGTCTTTCATGTGGGCTGAGGTGTCAATATTTTTGGGCCGACCTGTCAGGGCCAAGGTGTCAACCGTCAAGGGCCAAGGTGTCGTTGGGCCGAAATGTCTGTCAGTCACTCTGTCTACCTTTATAAGAAAGTTTTATCCGATATACCAAAATTTTTTTACAATAGCAACATCATATGTATCTGAATCCATTGCGAATAAACTGTAAGTAATTTTTCGATTTATTTCTTAAGACAAATAAATAGGGCCTGGATAAATAAATAAATAAATTTAATACTTCCCTATAATTTTTAGTTTAACATTTCAAAAAAAAATTACTTAGCAGGGTATACTCACTCCTCCATGGTTCCTGTTCCCATCTCTGATGTTTTAGAGATCTTTGTTTCTTCTGCTCCTGATTTTTATTGTTTAATGGACTGTTGAGCTTGAATATTGTTCGTTATCTTCATACATATATATTACATGTTTCTGTAAGCATTGATATGCTATACACTCCATCAAGAGTATAATTTTGATTTGTTATAATATTGTAAAGTTTTTGCCATTTTTACTTCTATAGATCATGATAGATAAATTAACATGCTTGAATGTTCTGATGAAAACCATCTCTGGTTGAAAACAGTCAACTAAATGAATCTACTGCATTCTTACGAAGTGTTGGTGATCTGTATATATCTATATATTGTAAAATGTTAAATTCTGAACAGTATATTGATACATATCTTTGTAGAACCTCATACAAAGTTACATAGTTATGTTTTTCTTGTCCAATTTTAAAATACGTAGTTTCCTTTAGAAATGGATAGTTAGTTTTTATTTTTCATGAAAAGTAATTAGTAAAGCTCTAAACCATGCAGTTTGGTTTTTATTCTTTTCTTTTTGGTTATCAACAAACAAAAAATACAATGTCATTATTTACATTCAAGTATTTGTACAGGGTAATCCTCATAAAAATACCCGGTAGTTGTCTGCAATCATGCTACTTGGCAGCCATTGATCATATTGGTATACTACATGTATTTAATTGAGTATTTGTATAACTTATATTCTTTATATTTATAGATGGGAGGGCTACAGAGCACTTGGAAAAGTGATTCCAGGAACAAGATTAATAACATTTAAAGTACCTTTAAAAAAGGTAAATGGAGTTAAAGATACCAGTGAACTTGTATATTTATTATGCAAGAAGTAAGGATTAAATTTTATTTTTTCATTTGTTTTTCCTAAATATTTTAGTAATATGATATGTTGGTGCCCATTGACAATAAATGAAATGTAGAAAATGAGGAATTTATAACAATTTGTGTGAAATTGCAACATAATTTTCTTTTGATTCAGGAATTGTGTGAAAAACTTCCAGAAGAGGAAAAGTGAGTTTTTTTTTTCATTTCACAGCAAAAGATGAATAATACGAGGGGTGATCAAAAAGTTCACGAACTATCTCTATATCTACAAAACCACAATTCAGATTAGAATGAAATTTGGTACACACATAATCATACACAAGTTCTATAAATAGCGTATACTGAATAAAGTTTTGCTCCTTGTTTGTGTCGTCACAATGTGAAAATGACGTCACTATGTAGGTCACTTGTCACGAAAAATGGTTGTCTCAGTCGTACTTGTTCAACAAACGACTGTTCAATTTCTTGCATATCTTAGAAACACCTTTGCCGTAACATAAAATAATTTGTACACAGTTTATTAAGACAAATGACTTACTATAAATTTAATCAATGATTGGATTGATCGCTTTTAAGTGAAGGAAGGCAGATGGTTAAAAATGATACATGTCATGTTGCTCAGTGAAAGCAAGTTTTTAAAAAGATATGTGTTTTTAATTAAGCAATTTGCTATCAAAGACCTCCAATTAACACTTTGAAAAATAGTTGAATATTTGAACAATAATATAATTATTACCAGGGTAGATAGCTAAGATATCGTTTACTTTAGATTTTAAACATATTAGAAATGATATAAAAGAGGCAACCATTCTCTATCCACCTTGAATAAACGTCTCTCCCGTGACAGAAGATTTGTGTTTTAATGGTCGCCATGCTTATTTTTGGAAAGAATATTCTTATCTACCCATTCTGTTGCCGAGATTTGACCATTTCTAACAAATGAACTGTTCTTTATGAAAATTAACTTACATGGAAAGAAATATAACACTCAGAAAAATCTTTCAGCTTTTGTGACAGAACGCTACGGAGAGAGTCACGTGGCCGCCAATATCTCATGATTCGCGCATGCGCAGGACGGTGGCTGATGTGCATTAAAATCGGAGAGGACTAATTTAAAATATAATGAACACTAAAACCAAATATGGTTTTCTTTTATGGAAGTTATTTAATTAGTTCGCGAACTTTTTGATCACTCCTTGTAAATTTCAGAGACTTTTTCACATTATGATAACAGATTAATATAGGTCTTTTTGTTACTTCTAATCTAACTTCAAACTACTGATAATATACTGATGTTTATTGCAAATTCCAAAGACATAATGGAAACTGCTTTGTCTTTTATGTAGTGAAAGATTGATTGATTATGAGTATTTTTAATGTACTGATATAATGTGTTATCTATAAGTTTTGCATATTGCAGTGAGAATCTCTGCTTTGTTTTAATCACATCTAGTCTCACCAATTCAGGAAACAACAGAGAGACAGACAGAAAGAGAGGGATAGATAAAACTTTGATGTATTTCTATTATGTGCTTTTATTTTCATTTATCAGATTTACCCCAAGAAGTTTGGTTTCCATGGTAAAAAACCTTGGATGTCAGTTAGGAATGGTGGTAGATCTTACATTCACGACAAAATACTACAGTGCACGGGTAAGTACAGTTAAAGCAGCTGGATAGCGCAAATGTTTGACTCAGTTTGTGGGGGTATATATTTATAAACATTTTGTTATGTCAAACGTTGCAGCTATCACAAAAAAGAAAATTATATGGCCCGATTTAGTGAGTTTTTATTTCATCTGTAACAGCTTTAACATTCATTCCCATACAAACAACTTCAGACCAAATTTCTTAGTTCAATCAAATGAGCAAGAAATTGTTCTATTTTCAGGATATGGAACACCAGGGTATCAGATATGAAAAGATTTTTACAGAGGGCCATAATGTTCCGAGTGATGATGTAGTATACAGGTAACATTTAAAAAAAAAAAAAAGAATACATAATCTCTGAAAGATTCACAATGTTGTGTGTGTCAACAAAAAAAACTAGATGCTGTCATGAGACAGTAATACCCGCACTAAGGTGTTTGCCTCTAAATACACGCTCCTACATATTGGGCGGCTTTCCAAAGAAATAGTCAAAATAATTCTATAATTTACATGTATTCATCAAAGGGGGGGGGGGGGGGGGCCCCCGCCCCCCCCCCCCCCCCCCCCCCCCCCCCCCCTGGAATTTACAAGGTTAAAAAATGTATATACTAAAACAAGGAAAAAGTTACAATGGACCCCCCTTGGAAAATGCAGACCCCCCCCTGGTAAACACGAATATGTGTAAAATAGGTATGAAAAGTTAAACATTTGCGGCAATAGAAGTCACCACTACCCCCACCCCACCCCCCACGATATAGGTTTTTGACGTTTGGGTGAGGTTTACTTTAGGTTTTTTTTTTTTTTTGATTGTCAATTTCTTGGATAGGATTTTTTTTTGACTGAGGTGGACCCCCCCCCCCCCCCCCCCCCCCCCCGGAAAAAATTTCTGGATCCGCGTCTGAAATTAGATTTTGATATATGTTTTGCTCATAATAGGACCTTTTTAAATTTACTACCCCCCCCCCCCCCTCGACACCACAATCACACAGCACATACTTTTTGGAATAGGCTAGATGGAAAAGGTTTGTTAAAATTTTATATCGTTTGTTATGAATTAATTTAAAATTTGTTCTTGTACTATACATGTGAACATGTAAATTTCTTCATCACATCACGTTGCGTCACCCATTATCATATTTATAGATTAAACACCATTTGGCACACCTCGGCCGATACCCACTTCATCTGATAAGGTGATGGAATCGACGAAGGTTCGCCAAAATGGCACATGGCTGCAGTCTGGTGTGCATTGGATTAATATTCATTTTGTGTTATACCGGTAATTGGATTTATATTTCATGAAGTTGACGAGACACAGGGAGTCGGTAAGTAGAAGTTTTAGTAAAGTGGGGGGTAAAATACACCCAAACGATTAGGTTAAAGTTTAAAAAGGGTCAAAGATCATCGCGTGCCACACTAGACGAATTTCATATTGTGAAGTTATCTCCCGTTGTCGATGTGACATTCAGTTACTGCCAATACTGGTGCGGATCCAGAATTTTTTTTCGGGAGTAGGGAGGGGGGTTCACATCTCAGTCAAAAAATTCCAGCCCAGAATTTCGTGACAAGCCGGAGAAAAAAAAATGAAAACAAATAAACAAATAAAAAAACAATGATAGTGAGGTCAATGTTTTCTAAGTTTATAGGGAGAGGATGTCAAGAGTCATTTTTTACTTGCTACAGTATATAGTCTTGTTTAAATAAAGCAAATGCCATGGGGGGGGGGGGGATTCCAATCTTCCTACCCACTTCCTGTCCCTGAAATAACAATGTATTTTGTGATTCCAGTTAAATAGTATATTTTTTTCCATTTGACTAATTATTATACATATTTTGTTTCTTGTGTTTATAGTATGTCTGTCTATAAGTCTGAAGAAATTAAATCCTAGCTAGCTTGCCCATAAGTTTTAAGTGGGATGGGCTATACAAATAGCTTCCACATTTTATAGGTTTATTTCTTGTGACAATTTAATAAGACCTTTTATTTGGGTACCATTAATTTTTACCTCTGATTGCTTGACATGGGATACACATTTTTACAAGAAAAATACCAAACTTTAAACTCTGCCTAAATTTTGATCAGTAGGTGCTAGGGCTTTCATACTTATCATGACATATTGTATTCATTGTGAACTGTCAACAGGTATAAATATGTTTGACCTTGACCCTAGAGTTTGAACCACTTAAACAAAAAAATTAACCTTGGCAATTAACTTTTGAACAGGAATTACTAGGGATTTCTTTATTTCACATGTGCATTCCTTGTGACAAGACTTTCTTCTGATACTAACAATTTGAACCCTTTGACCTTGACCTTTGATTTTGACATATATTTGAGAAACTTCAACCTTCGCCATAGGCTTCCATACTGGGACATCAGTGTTTCACAAACACATCTTATCTTCATTATTATTTGGTGGTGTCTCCATAAGAGGGAAGATGTATTCACAACAAACAAACAAATCACTAAAGAAAATATAAAACATGAATATGTTGGTCATGCATATCTCTGCAGGAAAAAAAACAGCTTTTCAAATACTCCAACCATATTGTAACCCTTTCAAAACACTCATTTGAGCTTTTTTGGTTTCCTTAGCATATAATGTCTGTCGTGACGTGTTGTCCATCTGTTTGTCTGAAAACTTTTTACATTTTTAACTTCTCTAGAACCACTGGGCCAATTTTACCCAATTCATATAGAAATATGTACATTTGTATGTCAGACTCAGTCCATCTGTCTCAATAAATTTAACCTTGGTTATCACGGTCATATCTAGTGAATGAGAAGAGACATTCATATTAAACTTATGTATTAGTATATTTACCTGTGAGAATGGCATGGTTTTTTTTTTTTTACATGTGACCTAGAAGTTTGACCAACTTGCAAAAAAAATAAAATGGTTATAAATTCATCATTTTGAAAGAGAAAAGTTAGGGCATTCATATCATAATGCATGTATATTATTACCTGTGATAAGACCTTTCCAAATAAATCATGACTTTAACACTGTGACCTTGACCTTGAAGTGATCAAGCCTAACCTACTTTTCAAAAATGTTGCATTTGCTTATAACTTTTGATTGAGATGAGATATGACTCTCACATTTGACATGTACATAAATTACTCATAAGAATTCAAGGTGTTTCCCAGCATGCGATGTTTTCTTATGCACCCGAATTCTTTCAGGGCGCATATTGTTTTTGTCCTGTCTGTTTGTCTGTTTGTCTGTTTATCTGTTTGTCTGTTGTCAACTTTAACCTTGGCCAAAACTTTTGAACCGTAAGAGATAGAGACTTCATATTTGGTATGCATACTCCTCTAATAAAGTTCTTTCAAATGACATCAAGGTCAATGACCTTGTGACCTTGACTGTGACCTATATGCTAAAAATAGGTTTTTCAACTGTTTGTTATAACTTTTGAACCATAAGAAATAGAGACTTCATAATTAGTATGCATACTCCTCTAATAAAGTTCTTTCAAATGACATCAGGGTCAATGACCTCGTGACCTTGACTGTGACCTATATGCTAAAAATAGGTTTTTCAACTGTTTGTTATAACTTTTGAACCATAGGAGATAGGGACTTCATATTTGGTATCCATACTCCACTAAAAAGGTTCTTTCAAACAACACCAAGGTCAATGACCATGTGACCTTGACTGTGTCCTTTATACTAAAAATAGCTTTTTCCACTTTTTGCCATAACCTTTGAACCTTAGGAGATAGGGACTTCATATTTGGTATGCATACTGCACTAATAAAGTTCCTTCAAATGACATCAAGGCCAATGACCTTGTGACCTTGACTGTGACCTATATGCTAAAAATAGCTTTTTCCACTTTTTGCCATAACTTTTGAACCATAAGAGATAGGGACTTCATATTTAGTATGCATACCCAACTAATAAAGTTCTTTCAAACAACACCAAGGTCAATGACCATGTGACCTTAACTGTGACCTATATGATAAAAATAGCTTTTTCCACTTTTTGCCATAACTTTTGAACCATAGGAGATAGGGACTTCATATTTAGTATGCATACCCCACTAATTAAGTTCTTACAAACAACATCAAGGTCAATGACCTTGTGACCTT